CCCGGTTGCCCTTACTCTGGTCCTGGGGAGGTGGTAGATGCTGCTTTGTGGAGCTAGGGGTGTGGAATCATAACATGGATAAGTCACTGCTCTTGGCCCTCCTTGGCTCTTATGGAGGGACCTGCTAGGGCAATAAAGGCAGCTGGGCAGACTCAGGGCTGCCTTTCGAGGGGTGCTGCCTGTGGGGAGAGCTGCCTCTTCTCTCTGGGCAGATGTGAAGGCCGGACACCAGAGGGAGAACACTGGCCCTCCTGAGACATTCTTTCTTGTTCTCCTCTTGGCCATGGAGGCTTCTGGGAGGGTGTGCCCCAGTGTGCTGGCAGAAGCAGACCTAGATAGATGTAGTGGTGAGTGGCACTCCTCACAAAGGTGGGATGGGCACCTGCTCCCTGGGGTAGGTGGCTGCCAAGGGGCCTCCAGGAGCCAACCGAGCAGTGGTTCTGCTGGCTGCTGGGGTCAGTTCCTCTAGGAGACGCTGGCTGGACTGGGGACACCCAAGTGCAAAGCTCAGGGACTCCAGGGGAGGTGGGCATGGACACTCCACCTCTGAACCATTTCCTCCTCTCTCTCCCCATTGCACTTTGAGCCCCTCGCAGACAGGACCCTGGTGAGATTTCTCCCTTTTCTCCTCAGGGCATAGTAGGTATGTCCAAAGTCTAGTGGGCTGAGCTGCTTCATAGGAGAAGCGAACCTCCCAGTGTTTGACCTCCCAGTGCATGTCTTCGAGCATCAAAACTAGCCGGCTTAGGTTCTGCTGCCAGAAATGTTAGTTCAGAGTGCAGTCTGCATGTACTGTGTGTGTGTGTGCATGTACTGCGTGTTTGTGTGGGGGTCGGGAGTGGTGTATCTGGGAGTGGTGTCCTGCCAGGAGGGAAGGTTTGGGGAGCCCTGGGTACTTTCTTTCCACTGGGATTAGGCCTCTTGGAGCATAGGGACTGCCTCCTTGGGGACATTGCCACTTGTATTTCACCTTCCTTTGGAGGCCAGCAGTTGGTTTGGCTGTGACTCAGGGATGCAGCAAGCCCCTTGTCCTGGTGTCTGGGAGCTATGCTCATTTACCTCAGGGCTATGAGGCAGCAGGCCTAAGGGGGTACCATAAGCACCCCCATCTTGGGAGCATGGCTTCTCCTCCTGCCAGGTTAGCTGAGTGGGCTGGGGGTCAAGGGGAGCCACCTGTGCATGGATGCCCTGGCTTCCTGGGTGTGGGTGGGAATCTCTCTCTATCAAAAGGCAGAGGTGGCCTATGGTTGGAGTATTGCCAGAGGCTATAAATAGCTGAGTGTGTGAAGGAGAGTCTGGGGAAGAGAGAGGAATGGGGGAGGCCCCTGGGTCTCCAGCTGGCAGCAGAGCCCTGTGGTGAGGGAGGGGCATGGAGTGTTACATAGGGCTCTGAACATAAAGCTCTTGTAGGCATGGTGTGACTTGATGGGCTGGGAGTCATACAGGGTACTTGTGTTGTAAGGGATTGTCATAGGGAGTAGGGGGTAGGTGTGGCTCTAATACAGCCAATGTGCCAGGCAGTGTTCTAACCACTCTTAAAGTGCATTAATTCAATTAGTTGCTACAACTTCCCTAGCTGTGAAGTATTGGAGTAGGACTTGAAGTCTGGCCCACTCATGGCTGCCATGTTTCGCTGGGTTGCCAGTAGGAGGATCTGGTCAGATGGGGGTCAGGTGACATCTTTTTGAAATGGAGTCTCGCTCTTGTCGCCGAGGCTGGAGTGCAATGGCACGACCTCAGTTCAGTGCAACCTCTGCCTCCCGGGTTCAAGTGATTCTTCTGCCTCAGCCTCCCGAGTAGCTGGGACTACACTGCAACCTCTGCCTCCCGGGTTCAAGTGATTCTTCTGCCTCAGCCTCCTGAGTAGCTGGGATTGCAGGTGCCCACCGCCACGCCTGGCTCATTTCTGTATTTTTAGTAGAGATGAGGTTTCACCACATTGGCCAGGCTGGTCTCGAACTCTTGACCTCAGGTGATCTGCCTGTCTTGGCCTCCCAAAGTGCTGGGATTACAGGCGTGAGCCATTGTGCCTGGCCCAGGTGACGTCTTGAACCCTTGGGTCCTCTGAGATTTGGAACTCCCAGCCTCTTCACTTGGGTCCTGCCCATGGTAGTGGCTAGAGGGTGGTCCCTGACTTATCAGTGGCCTGGAGAGAGGAGGTTACTCTGTTGACCTCCCTTGTTTGGACTCCTACCTCAGCACAGAGGCTTGTTGCTTGTCTCAATGGAGATGGAAACTCTAAGGACCTAGGGCTTGGGCTACAGGCTGAGGCCATCCTTCCTTGTTGTTCCCTCCTTTCGAAATCTTGCTCTAGCCATGATACCTACACCCTTCTGTCCATCTGTCTGTCCACCCATCCATCCATGTGTTTGGAATGATTCTACCACTCAGGACAGCAAGGGCCCTGCCTTCATTGGCTTTCCAGTCTTGTAGGGAAAGCCTGACATTTAGGAGGTAGTTGTCGAGTACGTGTGTAATGTTTTATTTCTCATACAAGTGTTCGTTGTGTTATTTCATCTTGGAGATTATTTTTGGTTATGTTGTTGGTACACTTTTCAGATGTCTGAGATATTCCTTTAAGCAACAATAGGCCATTAGTCAAGGGTGGTTAAGTTAAGTGGCAGGGGAAGCACAAGGGCCAGTGGAAGTAGAAAGTTTGCGTGGTCTCAGCTGAGGGAGAGGGAAGAGCTGAAATCAGAGGAAGGTGGGGAACCCTACGGTCAGAGGTGGTAACTTCCAATTTACGAAGCCTAGAAGCTGATCACATTCAAGGGTGTGACATTATGTTGTGGCTGCAGTGAGGGAAGGAAGGTAGGGGAGTGCCCAGCTTCCCTGTCTGCAGTGCAGCTTCCTGGCTGGCCCCACAAGTCTCAGGTCTCCACGGACCCCCACTAGAACTGCTGCCGTGGATGCAGTGGGGCCCAGCCTGGCGGGAGGAGGCCCTGTGGCCTCTGGGCAGGGTGCTTCGAATAACCCAGTCATTGGGTGCTGCTACAGGCAGACTGGGGCAACGTAGGTGCAAGCCTCAGTCCTGGCCCTGGTGTGCTTGCTCAGCCTTTGGTCAGCTACTCCCACCCCACCCTCTCAGGTTCTCCCTCTAAACCTTAAAGCCACATGCTTGATGAAGGGCCTGACTGGGGAAGCCAGTGTGTACCCTTGTAAGCCTCTCTGTGGACCCTGAGGCCCTTCATTTGGAAGAGGCTGAGTCCCAGCTGACTGGCTGGTCAGGAGGCCATGCGTTTGCCTTTCACAAGTGTCAGAGCCTAGGCTACCTGGTGTAGAATGACCAGAGCTGTGGCTGGGCACTGCCATTCTGATTGGGTGACATTTCGGACCCTTGGGCGCTACCTGGATCCTTGAGTTTCATTGCTTGCTCCTGCCCCTGGAAGAAACATCTTAGCACTTCAGGGAGATGCAGAAAGGGGTTGGGTTTGACAGGGGAATGGCTGCTCCAGTGATGGGGGGCTTCTTTCACCTGACAGCCAGTCCGTATCCTTCTCTCTGGGGTATACCCTGGGAAATCAAGCTCTTTCCTCATGAAGGCCACCCATGGGGGTGGAGAGGAGAGTGAGGATGTCCTTAGGCTACACTAGCATTCAGGGTACTTTGCCCTCCCCAAAGGTCAGGGCAGGGTTTGTGTTCCTTGCTACTCCAGTCAGCCATTGAGGCTGATGGCGAAGTAGGGCTCTTGGCTGCTGATGGGCTGGCTGTCTGGTGGGATTGACTCTGACCCCTCCCTCCTTCCTGGGACGGGAATAGTGGTAGGAGACCAGCCAGGAGTGGTGCCAGGTCACTGGCCTACGTGGGCCCAAGAAGTGTGGACAGGATGGCTGGATGCTTGGTGCAACTATCCTCTCAGGTGTCTGCATGGGGTTCTAGCAATGAGGTTGTAAATGCCACCACCTCCCTCCATTGTGGGCAGCCTATAATGGGGTGCTGGCAGAGCTTTCAGACAGAACCGAACCTCCTTTGGCATCTCCATATTCTTTCCCATCTCAGGGCTATGTGGTTCCTGGGGGTAGTGGGAGTAGACTGGGGCTGGGACTGGAGGTTGTTTTGTAGGGGATGGTGAGGAAGATGGATTTGGGGAATGTTTGAAATCAAGTTTGAAGGAAAGTGTTTGAATGGTGGGGGTTGAAGTGGTTGTCCACCTGGATGGCACTTCCTGCAGCAGGTGGAAAGGGGTTCAGAAGTGATGGGGAGTGCCCCGGGGTCATCAGAAGCCTAGCCAGGAGAATGATCTGTGATCGCAGGTTAAGCCACCATCTAGCCCTCCTCTGCCTGAGGCACGTATTCCCCTTGGTGACTTTGAGAGGCTTACCCTGTACACGCAGGCCTCATTCCTTATGTTCTCCAGCCCTGCATGGAGAACATTCCTTATGTTCTTCAGTACCAGGTGTGGTTGCTGGGTGTAGAAAGGACGCTTACAGGATCCTTGCTTCCCTTTACGTATGGGCAGGGAGTTGTGGAGGACCCACTGGCATGGTCTCCCTGGGGAACTGTCGTGAGAAGGGGGTTTGGGGGCAGAGACAGGAGCAGCAGGAAGCCACTCCCCTTTGCAGTTTTGCCAAGTGGTCCTTGAGATCTTTGTCGCAATCACCTGAGACAGATAGGGGTGGTTAAAAGCACATATTCTGCACCCATTCCCATTGGGATGGGTCTGGATTGGGCCTGGAAATATATATTTGAGTGAACACTGGTCCTCTTTCCCACACCTCCAACATACAGTGATTCTGATGTGCCCTGGGGTTTTAAGGGTGCCCCTTCATCAGTTTCTGCTGCAGCAGGGAAGTAGCCCCACCCTCACCCAGGAGCCTCAGGTGTTGGTGCCCTTTCTGTGCATCTGGCCTCTGTCTGGCTGGCTCTTTATCCATCCTTCTGGGGCATTAGGTTTCCTGCCTCCTCTCTTTTGCTTAGGCCTAGGGGCAGCTGTGATGGGCTGCAGAATAAGGTGGGGGCTGGTGCCAACTGGTACATGTAAATTAAGAGGTGTTGGATGGATGGGTGGCCTGCGTCCAGGGGTGAGTGTAGGGGGTTGGTGACCCCAACCCACCACCCGGCCTCCCTCCCTCAGGGTGGCCTGGCACCCAGGACTGGGAGTAGGGGTTTGGGTGGTGGTCCCAGGGGCATGCTCAGTGGTTCTCTTTTCTCTGGGGCACAGGCTCTGGGCGTGGGGAGGCTGAGACACGGGAGTGCATCTACTACAACGCCAACTGGGAGCTGGAGCGCACCAACCAGAGCGGCCTGGAGCGCTGCGAGGGCGAGCAGGACAAGCGGCTGCACTGCTACGCCTCCTGGCGCAACAGCTCTGGCACCATCGAGCTCGTGAAGAAGGGCTGCTGGCTAGATGACTTCAACTGCTATGATAGGTACTCCACGACTCGCCCTCCTTTCCTCTTGGACCCACCTGCACTTATACTGCCCACTGGGCCATTTGGGTCTCAGGATGTCTGAGCGGGAGATAAAGGACCGAGAACGGGCTCTTGAGATGGTAGCCAGGGCCCCACGCCCTTCCACACCCTATTTGTCCTACCTCAACCCTGAGGAGGGGTCTCAGTGAGTGTCAACCCCTGGCTGTTCCTCCTTGGCTTTGGGTCTCCTGTAGGGGAGGTGAGTTCACACCATCCTCCTGATGTTGCCCATGAGGTGCTCTGTCTGTGAGGAGGGGTTGGCGGGGCAGGCCTGGGGCAGTCTTGCATCCCCCAGGTGAGGGGTGTATGGAAAATTCTGTGCCTCCAGGCAGGAGTGTGTGGCCACTGAGGAGAACCCCCAGGTGTACTTCTGCTGCTGTGAAGGCAACTTCTGCAACGAGCGCTTCACTCATTTGCCAGAGGCTGGGGGCCCGGAAGGTGAGGGGGCAGTGTGGAAGTGGGGCCTTGAGTCAGCCGACCTGGGCCTCTTTGGCTTGGAGCTCTTGGCTCCTCAGTTGGGTGGGGTGTGGCTACAGGGCCCTGTAGTCTGGCTCTGGAGGTGTGAGGGTGGGCAGACTGTTTGACACAGGGCTCTGTGTGTCCCCCAGTCACGTATGAGCCACCTCCGACAGCCCCCACCCTGCTCACGGTGCTGGCCTACTCACTGCTGCCCATTGGGGGCCTTTCCCTCATTGTCCTGCTGGCCTTTTGGATGTACCGGCATCGCAAGCCCCCGTACGGTCACGTGGACATCCATGAGGTGAGACAGTGCTGGCTTGGGGCAGGGCAGGGTAGAGGTCGGGAAGACAGGCCAGACCTTATTAAGCCTTGCTCTCCCCCAGGACCCTGGGCCTCCACCCCCATCCCCTCTGGTGGGCCTGAAGCCACTGCAGCTGCTGGAGATCAAGGCTCGGGGGCGCTTTGGCTGTGTCTGGAAGGCCCAGCTCATGAATGACTTTGTAGCTGTCAAGATCTTCCCACTCCAGGTGAGTATTTGAGGGGCTCCATCCAGGTCCTCTGCCTCCACTGTAGCTTGAACTGGAGGCTCTCCTGCCCTGAGGCAATCCAAACCCCAAATACATTGTGGTATTAGAGAAAAGTGAGCCTTATTGGGCCTAGTTACTCATATTACACTTGGCTGGTCTGTAGATTTCATGCAACTGTGGAATTTTATCATAGGACTAGGGTAGGGCTTTGCAAAACCTTGATTTGCCCCGGTTTCCAAGGTTTTGTTTTTGACCTTGAGTTCTTTCCAGCGGCCCTGGACACCAGGTCTGGCTCTGCCTCATTTGTTGGGTGATACGGGGTCACTTACTTCCCGTCCGTGGACCTTAGTGGCCCCGTTTGTAAATCAAAGTGCTAGCCTTAAGTGATCTCAGGGATCACTGTTGGCCTCATGCTCCAGGACCTAGCTTAATACAGATCTTCTCCTGGTCCTGTTACAAATGCTGAAGCTGCGAGGCTGCGGGGTGGGGAATCAGCTGGGAGGCTCGGGAGTGGGGAATGGGGAATGGTTGTTCTGCTGTAGGGCAATGTGACTGTAGCAGGGCTAAACCAGCCAGTTGTCCCCCCAACCCCTCACCCCCTGCCTCAGGACAAGCAGTCGTGGCAGAGTGAACGGGAGATCTTCAGCACACCTGGCATGAAGCACGAGAACCTGCTACAGTTCATTGCTGCCGAGAAGCGAGGCTCCAACCTCGAAGTAGAGCTGTGGCTCATCACGGCCTTCCACGACAAGGTGAGCCACACCCATCAGAATGGACTCTGAGAGGAGATAGAATGCCCCCTTGGTGGCTTTCCATAATATGATGACCCCTTCCCTGTGGAGGTGTCCACCATGAGGTACTCTGCCCCGGTAGCACTATCCACGATGAGGTTACCCCTGCCATAGGAGTGGACATAGGTGCCCCTATGATAGGAACCTCTCACCCTGGCATAAGTTTTTGTGATAAGAGTAGTGACTGCATGATTCCCACCCCCTAGCCCTCCCTGCCTCCTGGCCTCATCTATCTTCCATATCAATTGTAGTAGCCTCCCAGGAAGGCAGCCTAGTCATTGGCCCACTGAGACTTCTCTGCCGGGGCTGGGCTGGGTCCTGTCCTGTACCCAGAATCTGCGCTCAAGTTCTGTGCTGTCTTCTCTCAGGGCTCCCTCACGGATTACCTCAAGGGGAACATCATCACATGGAACGAACTGTGTCATGTAGCAGAGACGATGTCGCGAGGCCTCTCATACCTGCATGAGGACGTGCCCTGGTGCCGTGGCGAGGGCCACAAGCCGTCTATTGCCCACAGGTATTAGGGTCAGCACATGCCTTTCCTGCACTTGACATGGAGCTGTAGGAAGGGTTGGTGGGTGAGAGCAGTGTCTGGAGATGTCTCAACTTCCTAGACATACTTATTCTGCTTGCTGTGTGTCTGAGGCAGCTGGGCACAAAACCTGGCCTTCCCACTGTGGCCTGGGGATGGCATGGCCTCTGAAGCTGGTTTGTGGTGCCCTCTAATGGCCACATGAAGTGCTGACTCCATTACTTTGGTTGGAGAGTTGGCTCAGTAGTTCTCAAATTGTCTAGGACCCCTTTATACTCTTAAAAGGACTTTTGTGTAAATGGATTATGACTATTGATATTTGCTGTATTCGAGCACACCCACACATCCCATTTGCTGTCAGAGTGATGACATCACATCTCATGTAGCTCTTAGGAGCATAGAGTTATGCTCCTAAGAGAATGAGCCTTCAAAAAGCAAATAAATGAAAATAATTTTGACCTTATAGATTCCCTTGGAACAGTCTTAGAGATTTTCTGGGGTCCTCAAACCACACTTTAAGAAACTCTGAATGAGCTCATCACTGTCCTGCTTACTAAATGGCAGGCAATGCTCTAAACACTTGAGAAGTGTCAATTCATTTAACCTTCATTACCGCCCATTGAGACAAGTACTGTATTTCTCAGCTCTGTCTTGCAGATGAGGAACAGTAGTACAGAGAAGTTGAATGACTTAGCCAAGGTCCTATAGCTAGTTGAGTCTGGTTCTGTGACTGTGAGGGAGGGGAATGATCCTCAAATTCCAGCGTTCACAGCTGAAGGGTCCCTGATGGTAATAACAGTAATGACATAGAAGGTTGACTGTATGAAAGTGCTATTCTTATAGGTCAAAAGGTTGAATGTTGTCTCCACTATATGGCTCAACTTAATAGGAACACTAGTAAGTATTCCCGGTGTGGCCCTAAGCATTTGTACTTACCACTCAGTCGAATCCTCACAGGGCTGAGACAGGCACTGGGGAAATTGAGTAGCACAAATAGCTTTGCTTAGTTAGAGGTGGAGCTGGGCGCATGCAACAGCACCCTTGCTCCACCCGGCCTTCATGGTGAGCTCGAGGCCCTAAGGGATATCTGCAGGATCCTAGGAAAGCTAATATTAAATTCCTATTCTCATTCACATTCCAAATGCTGTAAATTCTTCTCAGAAAACTTGCATCCCAGGCCAGTGTGCCTGTCCACAACCCCTCTGAGAATATATGGGCTGGCCTTTGTGATAGTGTGGGGACTGGGACAGGGTCTGCCCAGCCGTTAGGGTAGGTGTTGCTTTGCCAATCCTGAGGGGGGGAATCCTTCCATCTGAAGTGCACTGAGGGATTCTCACACCTATGTGGGCTCCTGCAGCTGCCTGCCTGTGCTGTTTCACCTCTGCACCCCAGGTAGCGGGGGATGACCTGGTCTGGGGACTGACTAGGGCATAGACTCTAGTATCTTGGGAACCAAAGTGGGAGTTGATCATGATGTTAAGCTTTATCTCTGCCCGCTTGTTTCCACAGGGACTTTAAAAGTAAGAATGTATTGCTGAAGAGCGACCTCACAGCCGTGCTGGCTGACTTTGGCTTGGCTGTTCGATTTGAGCCAGGGAAACCTCCAGGGGACACCCACGGACAGGTAACAAGCCTCACAGGGCAGGAAGACAGGGGCAGGCCCAGGGTAGATACTTTGCCCTTTTCGTGCTCAGCTGGCGAGGTGCACAGATGAGGGTGACTGCATGTGTTCAGAGCTGTCTGAGAACTCAGAACAATGCTCTTATTTGACCAGTGGAGAAACCAAGGCCAGGAAGGCAGTGTAGCTGACAGTCAGCTGGGAAACGTAGAGTTTCCACATTGGGGTTTTGTCCACTAGTCCTCGTAGTCTGGCTCTCACTTTTTTAGTTTTAATTCCTAAGATAAAACAGAAAGAAATGTACTAAGGATCCAAACAAGAACCTGGAAAAATTAACTAAAAATTAAACTTAGGAAATAATTCCTAAAACAATCACTGTTATTATTTTTAAGTGTTCTCCCTCTCCCTTTGTTTTTGGTCTTAATCTCAGTAAAATACACATCATCTGTAGTTCCTTGTATTAATTTGGTAAGAATTCCATTTTAGATTACTATTATCTCCAGAATATAGTATTTAAAAAGTATTATCCAAGTATAATTGATGCTGTGACCTCTCGTAACTGCTGTGAATGTGGTGAATCGAGGTTTGCCATCATTGATAACCTGTCTGAATTGCTCTGTCTTGCCCCCATCTGGTGCACAGAGGCTGTAACTCCCATGTCCCAGCTGTGTGTGTATGGCCAGTCACTGTAAACCCTGTCCTCCTCTGTCCTCACATAGGTAGGCACGAGACGGTACATGGCTCCTGAGGTGCTCGAGGGAGCCATCAACTTCCAGAGAGATGCCTTCCTGCGCATTGACATGTATGCCATGGGGCTGGTGCTGTGGGAGCTTGTGTCTCGCTGCAAGGCTGCAGACGGTAAGTAGGATGGCAGCCCTGGGCATCCTAGGTTGAGGGATAGGGAGCAGTGGGACCTTGGAGTGATCCTGCCAGGTTCTCTCTTACTCCTAGGACCCGTGGATGAGTACATGCTGCCCTTTGAGGAAGAGATTGGCCAGCACCCTTCGTTGGAGGAGCTGCAGGAGGTGGTGGTGCACAAGAAGATGAGGCCCACCATTAAGGATCACTGGTTGAAACACCCGGTAAGGGGCCTGGTGCAGGCAGCTTTGCAAGGGGGTGGAGAAGGGAAAACTCTTCATGTGTAGCAGGTAAGCTGAAATCAAGGGGGAATGAGCAAAGAGAAAGTCTGCTACGTTCCCTGGACTCCAGGAATATGTTCCAGGGGTTATGGGGAGTAAGGTAGGATGATGTCCTTCTGATCCCCACTTTGACTGAACTGCTACATTTTGGGCCCTTGTATGGTTTGGGCTTTGAATACGATTTTTTTGAATATCAGCTCTTCAAGGCAAGTAGTCATGTCTGCCCTAGTAGGGGCCTGGGTGTCTCCTTCTCCCTCCTATGTATATTGAGGTTCAGTGAACCTTTCCTAGGGCTGTGGAGTGAGGCCAGTAAGCTCAGAAAGATGACTGCCATGAAGGCAGGCATGCTGATTCCTGAAGTTTGCCCCAGGCCTCTGCTGGTGGACCTGCTGCTGTGGTTGGGGCTAGTGGGCTCTGCCTGATCCTTGGGAACATCAAGTTTACTGTCCCCCAAAGCTTTTCCTCATTGAAGGGCCCTAACAAAGGTGTCTTTCCCATCTTCCCTATGCTGCTCAGGGCCTGGCCCAGCTTTGTGTGACCATCGAGGAGTGCTGGGACCATGATGCAGAGGCTCGCTTGTCTGCGGGCTGTGTGGAGGAGCGGGTGTCCCTGATTCGGAGGTCGGTCAACGGCACTACCTCGGACTGTCTCGTTTCCCTGGTGACCTCTGTCACCAATGTGGACCTGCCCCCTAAAGAGTCAAGCATCTAAGCCCAGGACATGAGTGTCTGTCCAGACTCAGTGGATCTGAAGAAAAAAGGAAAAAAAGTTGTGTTTTGTTTTGGAAATCCCATAAAACCAACAAACACATAAAATGCAGCTGCTATTTTACCTTGACTTATTATTATTATTATAATTATTATAATTATTATTATTAATATTATTTTTTGGATTGGATCAGTTTTTACCAGCATATTGCTCTACTGTATCACAAACAGTGGACACGTCAGCAGGCGTTGAGGTGCTGAGCTGTGAATGCAGAACCAGCGCCATGCTGAAGAGCCTCAGCCACCTCCTGTCCTTTGGGATTCATTTTTCCCGCTTTCTCTTTGTTCGTCGTCTCAGAATCTGTGACACAAAGAAACCCATCTCCTGTCTTAGGAAACCTAATGCTGCAAACTCTACCTAGAGGAACCTTTGAAGACTGTTACATAAGAACATACCTTCCTCAGAAGAGGAGTTTCCTCTGCCCTCTGCCCTTCTCCCCTCCTTCCCTCCTTCCCTCCCTCCCTCCCTCCCTCCCTTTTATTTTGTTTTAGTGAACTTAAGAAACAGCAGATACATCTTTCACGGATCTAACGGGTGTTGTCCTGACCGAGAAAAAAACTGGGATGAGAATGGTTTGGACTGGAGTTGGAAGGGGAGGACAGTACTGGGGGTAGGATTTGGAACAGAGCTACACTGGACTCGGGCACATTCGGAGCAGCATCCTTTACTATGGAGGCTACTTCTCAGGTAACCAGGAATCGAGGGGAAGGACCTTGTGGAGGCCGAGCATTAATAGCAAGAGTGGGGTTTGGAGAAAGTCTGAGATTGGGTACAGCCCTGACTTACCTGCTGGCCCTGACCAGTTTCTTTTCACTAACTTGGCCTTGGGCATAGGGTGAAACATTTTTTCTTCCCTAATTTTAAAATTAGGTGAGGGTTAGAATCACAGGTTAGTGAATACATTCTTCATAAGACACGATGCTGTAAATACCCTTAATGGACGAAAAGTTGAAATACTTTTGTTTCCTCTTGGAGCAGTTCAGGGAAATGCCCACAGGGGGTTGTCTTGCACAGATAGGGCAAGAGGATTTCCTGGGTGGAGTCTGCCAAGACCTGCCTCGCTGGGGACCCAGAGTCCTGCAGCTCTGGTTCTGCCCCAGGTGGTAACAATACTGTCCCCTTTCTGTGGCTCGTGGACAAGACTTTCTCCAGACCCCTTAAAGTGGTACATATTCTAAAAAAGCTGTTTTTCTATTATGCCATAACCTTGCTCTAGTCAGTGAATGTTCCTAATGCTGCTGTTTCAACATTTGAATTCTTTTTAATTTATGAAACATGCTAAATTTTTTTTTCAAACAAAACACACACATCCACATATACACATGCTTTGCTATGTGGCTTCCAAGGTTTAAATTTTGAAAAGTAAAAGAATTAAAACTTCACGACCACAGATCACCTCAAACCAGAAATACCTCAGAATTTTCTACTTGTGTAAGGTTTATTATATATTTTGTTAGTTGTGTTGTCTTGTAGTAAGTATATTTTAATGTAAGTTGGCTTTTATGACAAGAAAGTTTAAAAGAAATAGAGAAAAAGAAAAAAGTTTGCATCTTCTAGGGAGTGCTACCATTTTTGTTTGATAACGCCCCCTTGTAAATAATTGTCATCAGCTGTAGGTTGGCTGTCTGGGCCAAGTCTGGGCATTCATCAGTCTTGTTTGTGAAGGCTTTTCCTTCTGGTTTCTTTAGATCATTTTATTTAAAAACAGTGCATCTCTTCATCATGAGGGTAGGCAAGGCGGGGGCTGTGGGGAGAGGTTGACCTGGGTGAGAACTGAAGAGTCCGCCTCCTCTTGGGTTGTTTGGAGCTTCACATGGAATTCACATGTAACGTGTAACTTGATCCGTCGATGTTCAGAATGGCAACCCCACTTAAACTTGGTAGAAGGATGGCCCTTAGACCTGAATGGGGTGATTTTACTTGAGATTTAACTTCTTCAGCAAATTAGCAGCAACGTTGGAAGAGATCTGTGGCACCTCTGTGAAGCACACCATGACTCAGGCCAGTCTTCTAGTGTAGCGTGTCTGGGAGGGAAGGGTTTCGCTCTTGCTGGTCTTGGAGTCCACAGTGTGGGGGGGCACTGCACACGCCTGGCCATCTACCTGGCGTGCTATGTTCAGTGTCTGGGGCTTGCTGCCCGGGGGTCTTTTCCTCTGGGTGTTGAGGCACAGGGTGCTATGGGAGGCCCATTTGCTTCCCTCTCAGAGCTCAGTTTTTGCTTCATGGGTCAAAATGTGGGCTGGCCAAGTGGTTACAGGAACAGGGTTTTGGTAAGCTGTGTTGTCTTTTTTTAATTTTTATTTTTAAATGGTTTGATTTTGTGCTGTGGTATTTTTCTTCCCTTGGAATAATTTTTAATGGCAAAACAGGCCTTACAGCAGTTGCTTTTCTTTACCATTTATTTCTTTAAGAAGCTTTAAAATATTTATTGAAAAGTGCCATATCTAATTTTTTTAGCTTTCTCCTCAGGCAGGGCAGGCATCTTTACTTTTCATCCTCAGAAGAAACAAACCACTAACAAATGTAGCAAATTTAATGCAGGAATAGTTAGATCATGATACTACCTGAACACTAAACCCCAGCCTCTTTGTTTCGTTTTAGTTCCTCTGGGTGGTGTTTCTTTTGTGTGCTGGCTTGATTCTTGTGAGAAGTTTTGACCTGGCCAAGGGAGGGTTGAGCCATGGTTCTGGTGTGGGACTTTGCAGTCAGGACACAGTACAGACAGGTCAGGCCTGCCTGCCTTTTCTCTGGGTGGCCTCCCCCTTCGGCCCACTGTGTGCTCAGCCACTGTAGTGTCCCTGTGGGGCCTTGCCATCAGATGGTGTGTCAGGAGATGGTACGTTTTTGGTGGGGCTGGGGAGGAGGGTGGTCCATGCCAGTTCTTTGGGCTTCAGGCCGCTCTTCCCCTCATATTGTGGTGTAAAGCTCACCCATCAGGTGGTATATCTGGTTCTGATGGCAAGAAAAAAGTGGGGGATCTCCTTACAGGGCATGGGTCTAGGAGCACAGGTGGGCCTTTTGCCCCAGGTAAAATGTTTGTCTGTTTACTGTCATGTGTTCTTTGAGGAGTGAGCCATCTAGAGCCCTACTTTGAATTTACTGGGTCATACAGCCTCTGCCTTTGCTGTTTTCTGTAATAACTTCATGCAACATGCACTTTTCGGGGGCTCAGATAATTGCTTTCTTTTTGTTTTTGACCTCAGGCTCTTTGACAGACTGGGGAAAATGGGGCCTGGCATCGTTTTCCCTGTCAATGGGAGGGGCTGTTCCATGCAGGGTGGGAGGGGACCAAGTTAGCAGAGAGTAGCCAAGGATCCTTGCTTCTTCGTTTCTAGTGTGCTGTCATCCAAGCAGGCTCCTGGCTGTAGGGATGGGCCTTGGGGAACAATCTTCTTTGAAAGCATCTGTGATAACTGAGAAGTCATCCCTAGCTGGAGAAATCCAGTAATGAGCAGAAGGAGGAAGCAAGTGAGGACAGAGGCCATTGTGTTACAGTGTCATGCAGAGGGCCCTCAGTGATGGGGCACTGGGGAAGGCCGTAGACATAGTCATCAGAACATCCTGGCCTGGCATAAGCTGGATTTTCTCCTGGGACCATTGGTCCTCAACAGGAGTTCCTTGCATGAGTTGCTTGTGGGCAAGGGCTGCAAATGGGCTATTCTTAGGAGAAAGTGACACCGGCCTGTGAGGGAAGATGGTGAGCATTATTAGGCTTTGTGTCCAGCATGGCCTTCTTGTCCTGTCTGCTCTGGAGAGAGGCCTGTGGGACCAGTCCTGCCTGGGGAGAGGGGAGGGCATATCCACACATGCTGGCTGATTCTGACTCTGAATACATCCTGTCTGGACGTGGGGGTGTTTCTGCAGAACAAATAGGTTGTTTTCCAGCCTTGAACATCTTCAGGAGGATAGAGACTCTTGCTCACATATTCTTAGCAAAGGGAAGGGTCTCTCTTCTCCAGGCCATAGAGATAGTTCTTCGATTGCCCTAAGAGGCTAGGCTGACCCTCTTGACATGACTTAGACAGCAAAGCACTTCGTCCTGTAGTTGGGCTCTGTCACCTTTCTCTTTAGTTGGCCATATTCTCGTTTCCTCCATCCTGCTACTATGCCCTGTGAGCTCTGGCTGTGTGTGGGGTTTTTCCCTGGTGGAAGGAGGCCCAGCTATGTATTGAATGTCCTTCGTGTGTTGTGTGTGACTCAGAAAGCCTGTCACTTGGCCCCTGTGCTCTGAGCCATGAGGGTGGGGAGGTGGCTGTTCCATTAAAGTGGGAGTATTGGATGGCCCTCTTGAAACTAGAGTTTTGCCTTTTTTAGTATGTAGTATAAAGTTTCCAGCACCTATTGGTAACACAAAGACTTGCTGGTTTTTAAAATAATCTAATAAGCATAAGTATGTAAGTTTTTAAGTTTTTAGAATTGGTACTAGAAGTTGGACAGCTAGTTATTATTCTCGAGAACTTGATTTCACTAGAAAAATAAACTAATTGGAAAGCAGTTTCCAGGAGTTAACTCAGTTTGATTTTCAGTCTCAGTTATTTTAGCCTGTTGAGTTTTTGATGGCACACCTTTGGAGAGATGGCCAGGCCTGATTCCCATTTCAGGGGCATCCGACCATACTTTTTTAAGAAGCTCCGTGAATCTAGTTATCTACCCTGCATCCTGGGCAAACAGCCAGAATGAGAAGGGGACAAGGTGTCTTTTTCTCCTTTTCACTGGGGTGACATGAATTCTTTTAGTTAATGGCTGTTTGCAAATTCTAAACTAATGAAATACTCAGCAGCTAACATGTTCAATCTAGTAATGATTAGTTTAAATCTCAATTGACAGTAATGTTTTAGATAATGTTTTAGATAAACAGGCCCAGTAATTCAGTTGATGAACTGTATATACATCTTCTCAGTTTAGTTTTGTAAATGTTTAATGAATTCAGGGTTATACATGTAATTCTTTAAGTAAGATTCCAGGTAGTTGATTTGTAACCAGCAGTCTACCTATGAATGTATCCCAAACCTTTAGAAGGTTGGAAAAGATTTTTGAAATAATGATTTAGT